ATTGGATTAAATGGTAATTATGGAGAGATTGAAAGGGTATTATGGTCTTTCTCTTAAAGGATATTTTCCTCTTATTAAGAGACAAACATATGGGTTTTTTGGGAGAGTTATCTGGAAGATCTTTTCTTCTTGATTTTTTTCCCGTAAGCTTCATTGCAAAGGTAAGTTGGATTATAATTGTTGATTTCTTGTATTTCTAATTTATTTTTGATTCTTTAGGTGTTATATAAGCTTAAGGAAAGCTTATATAAGCTTAAAACATCAAGAAGAAAGAATTAGAAAGGAAATTGTAATAAGGGTGTAGAAATGAATTGTTTGTATGAAGATGAATTTTGAAGTCCTGTTGATAAATTTGACTTTCATAAGAAGGATTAAGAAGTTTAAAGCATTAGAAATGAGTTTAGAACACATTGAAAGTTTAGTGAAATTCTTTAATTTGAAGAGTTATAGTGAGATATTGAAGATAATGAAGTGTTATAGTATTAAAAGAGGGTTTAAGTATGTATAGTTAAGTTTTAAGGTTGAGGAGAGGCAAACAATTAGAGTTCGGGGTAAAGTGTTGAAAATTTCGGGTTTAAGAAACTATATTATGGGTAGTAGCATCGGTACCGGTTGAGTTAGTACCGATACTACAAGGCAATTTATGAGAAAATATGCGTGGGGTATCAGTACTGCATGACAGTATCGATACCATAAGGAAAAAGAGTAATAAATCTTCATGAAGTATTGATACTGAAAGAAGAGTATCGCTACTAGGGGTATCGATACCAATAGAGAGGTACTGATACCATTCTTGCAAGTAAATTACAGAATAAAAATTGGGTATCAATACCGTGGAATGGTATCGATACTACAAGCATAGAAGTATCGGTACTGTGTTGGTAGTACTGATACTACTTAAGTTGGAAAGTGGAAATTTGTATTTTATTTAGTTTTCTTTGGTATGAATCTTTTCGAGTAATTCAAATTCCAATATTCATTGGATTGTATATTTATGTAGATATCGATCGAAAGTAAAGTTCGGATAAGCCGTCAGAGTAAGATTCGAGAGAGAACAAGAGATTGGTATTGGCAAGTGAACCAAATGTGAGTACATGATATTAAATGTAAGTTAGGTTAGAGAATTTAGACTTGCGATTAGTCTAATTCTGATATTAGATTATATGAGTACAAGGATACAAGCATGTGGTGATATAATGTTTATGTGTATATAAGTATATATATGTCTAGAGTTTAAGTGCATATTTATATGTGATCTAGATGAATGTATGTATGTGTGATAAATTAGGCAATTATGAGCCATGTGATAATAAATTGTATGACTATATGATCATAAGAGATAAGACATATGACAAGAGATATGTGAAAGTAATCTATGTGATTATATGTTATATGAATACAAGAACTTGTATGAGATATATGATAATAAGATATGAGACTCTATGAGAGTATTACATGATATATGTGATAAGAAGCCATGAGTTTTTATGCTTGTGATATAAATATGTGAATGTGCGATAAACATAAATAATATTGCCAATGTTATGTATTATGACAACTAGGGGTATAGTTGGCATGCCAAGAGTCGAGGGTTCTATGTGGTCCTTCGAGACATATATGTAATCCTTTGGAACATATATGTGGTATTTCGATACACTTATTTGATCCATTGGAATATGTATGTGGTCTCTAAGGAGTGGTCCTTCGGGACATCTATGTGGTCATTCGGGACAAATCATATATGCCTCTAGTGGGAATTATACGAGCTGTGGTGAAAGTATATGTGCACAACCTCTATGTACTCACATATTTTTAGTTCTCAGATGTATACATGAGTTTTAAAGAGAATAAATAATCAACTTGGTATGATGCTATGTGTGCTCTTTTGTGAAATGATATACGTGTTTTATGATGTGTATAGAAATGTTAAGTACATGCTCAATTGACAAAAAGGAATTAGTGATAATAATATAAGTAATGATGATCTATTAATTGTTTACATGTCTCACTAAGTCTGTGACTTAGCGTGTGAGTGTTTCACACGTAGGATCCGAGAAGTTCTAAAGAGAAGATAAGTAGCGGAGACAACATAACTTCATCAAAGATCATATCAGAAAAATTTACAGTAGGTTTCCCTTTTGTATTATGAAGTGTTGGCATGTATTTAAAAGAGTAAATTGTAAAAGTTCTGAACAGTTTGTAAAAGTTTTTGAATTAATAAATGTAAATTATGTATTATGTTTAAATTTTTCCTGTATTTTAAATAAGTACATGATTTGAAAGGGTAATGTGACATCTCAGACTCGTATTCGGGTTGAATACGATTTGGGGTGTTACATGATGCATAAGGAGATTGAAGTCTATATTGATGATATAATTGTCAAAGCCCAAACTGAAGATGAACACATTGAAAATCTGAGAAAACTTTTTCAAATATTGAGGAAGTTTCAATTGAAGTTGAATCCAAACAAGTGCACATTCGAAGTAACGTCTGGAAAGTTGTTGGGTTTTGTTGTTAATAAAAGAGGCATCGAGATTGATCCAGATAAAGTCAAAGCCATTCAGAATTTTCTCTCCCCACGTACACAAAAAGAAGTTTGAGGTTTTCTGGGAAGATTGAACTATATTGCTCGATTCATATCTCAATTGACAGATAAGTGCGACCCAATTTTTCGTCTCCTTAGAAAGAATAATTCTGGAACATGAGATGATGACTGCCAGATTGCATTCGAGAAAGTAAAAGAGTATTTGTCTCATACTCCAATTTTTTGAGAATTCAATGGGATATGTTCTGGGACAACATGATGAATCTGGAAAGAAATAAATAGTCATTTACTACCTTAGCAAGAGATTTACTGATTGCGAGGTCAAATATTCCCCAATTGAGAAAGTTTGTTGTGCTCTAGTCTGGGCTACACGAAGACTCAGGCAATACATGTTATACCATACTACATGGTTAATTTCCAAGTTGGACCCATTAAAATTGATTATGGGTGTACCCGCTCTCTCTGGAAGGTTAGCTCGATAGCAGATGCTTTTATCCGAATTCGACATTGCGTACTTGAGTCAAAAAACTATAAAGGGAAGTGTCATATCAGACTTCCTAGTAAGCAGAGCTTCCGAAAACTAAGAACCATTGAACTTCGATTTCTCAGATGAATATTTGATGGTCATATCTTTAGAAGAGGCTAGTACTCCCACATGTGATTCCTGGAAGATGTACTTTGATGGTGCATCGAACACGTTGGGGCACGCTATTGGGGCTATCCTGATCTCACCCACAAGAAACCATTACTCGTTCACTAGCAGATTGAATTTCGATTGCACCAACAATATGGCAGAGTATGAAGCTTGTGTTTTAGGGATTCGAGCTGCCATTGGACAAAACATAAAGACTTTGAGGGTGTATCTGCTTTAGTGATTTATCAACTCCAAGGAGAATGAGAAACAAAGGACGCAAAACTGGTGGAGTACAAAAAACTCATCTTGGAGTTAATTGAAGAGTTCGATGAAGTCACTTTCCATTACGTGCCCAGAGAAAAGAATCAGATGGCAGATGTTTTAGCTAACTTGGCAGCAATATTCAAAATTGGTGTAGAAGTCGATATGATGCCAATCGACTTGCAATTATACGATTACCCAGTTCATTGCTTTCATATCGAGGAAGAAAAAGACAAAAACCCATGGTTTCATGACATTCTGCAGTACATCAAAAATCAAAGTTATCTAGAAGAAGCTACTGAAAATGAAAAAAGAACAATCAGAAGAATGGCGATGGGATATGTTTTTTATGGAGAAATCTTATACAAGAAAAGTCATGATCAAATCTTGTTAAGATGTGTGGATGCAGAAGAGACAGATGATCTTGGAAGAAGTGCTTGGCGGAGTGTGTGGAACTCATGCAAATAGGCATATGATGGCAAGACAAGTCATGAGATGTAGATATTTTTGGTCCACATTGGAGAGTGACTGTATCAACTATGCCAGAAATGTCATAAGTGCCAAGTCTATAGAGATAAAATAAATGTCCCGTCTCGTCCTCTTCATGTAATGACAGTTTCATGACCTTTTTTATGTGGGGCATGGATGTTATCGGACAAATCCATCTAAAAGCTTCAAAAGATCATCAATTTATCCTTGTGGCAATCGACTACTTTACCAAATGGGTGGAAGCTGCATCATATGCTAATGTCACTCAGTCCACTATTTGTAAATTCTTAAAAAAGATCATATGTCGGTATGATTTACCAGAAATGATCATTACTGACAATGCAATCAATTTAAACAACATAATGATGAATTTTGCTTGTGAACAATTCAACATAAAATATCACAACTCCACTTCTTATCGATCAAAGATGAATGGATCGATAGAGGTAGCAAATAAGAATATCAAGAAAATAGTGAAGAAAATGACTGAAACATACAAAGACTGGCACAAGAAGTTACATTTTGCTTTGTTTGCCTATCGAACTTTGGTGCGAACTTCGACTGGTACAATCCCATTTTCACTAGCTTACAGGATGAGACAGTATTGCCCATTGAGGTGGAAATCCCATCAAGGTGCGCCCAATAGTATTCCATGAAGGAGATCTCGTGCTAAAAAAAGATTTGACAAATTCAAAAAAATTTCGAGGAAAATGAATGTCGAACTGAGAAGAACCTTATGTATTGAAAAAAGTCTTCTCTAGAGAAGCACTAATCTTGATCGAATCCGACAAATTTCTGGTAAGTTATAGAACAACAGCAGTAAGTTATGGTATCCGATCAAGTAAACTAAAATGATCGGTGGCGACCCCATCACATCAAATTAAGTCGAAACCCGATTCCAAATCCACCCGATGGACGGTTACAACACATGTTAGATAGATACTTGTTTCAATTTTTATTTTCTAAATCACACTTGGCCTTTAATAGCCAAATGCCTCGGAGAACGATATTTGAACTTTCATAATGCAAAGAACAAGGAAACAAAGATGCAAATACTATATTAGGTTCAATGCAAGCTAACAAGGTAGGAAACATCGTCAAATCGGAAAAACTAGTTCAACATGATCCTTAAAAACACAAACTAGAATTTAATTCCCTCAAAAATCAAAGACCAATTTAGTTCTAAAAGGGAAATCCCACTACTGCTGGCGGACTTCAGCTTTCTTCTTCTGCCAGAGTCTGTCGAGCGCACTGTCAGCCTCACCCTGCAACCATGCACAAATCAATCGGAAGCCGACTTAAGACACAACTCAACATCATCACAAAGAACACAGATTGACATGGAACTAACTCCTGCATCATCTATCAGTTTGAAAAATCCAACAACTGCAACAAATGTCCTACACCTAATCGGACTCGATTACAAGGATGTGATCTTTTTAACATATATATACACTCAAGAACTATCAAAACATCGCATAAAGCATCACCTAAAACGTCACAGAAATAATGCAAATCAAGCAACATAACAGAAAAAACAATCAGCAAGTAGAGATCCGACACGAACCTGGGCACGGACAAAGCCACAAAGAGCAAAAGTGGAGAAGGTTCCAGTGTATCTGCCAAGCTCATCCAAGTGTCCAACATTAATCTGAACAGAGGCATGATCCTTCGAGGTGATCAACCGATTAGTGGCCGAGCTGCAATACCAAGAACAACATACATATAAGTTTCCATCATAGACAAGGTAAAAGTACAAAACAAGGACGACAGTCAGAATAAATTACCATTTTCTGGGGATGTAAAGATCCATGTTTTGACCCTCTTCGTTCTGCATCTTTGAGAATTTCTTAACCCAACAAGAATCCTAAACGCTCAAATGACCTCATTCAGCGCCAATTTATATTCATTAACCAATAATAAAGAAAAACTAAAACAATTTCAACTTCAATGCCCTGTAAATAAATTACTAATTCGAAAACCAGAATGAATCAAACAAGCATTTTACAGACAACCATAAATCCAAGTTCAAATATTGCTGCTTAGGATTTCATAACGATCATGTTCATATTAACATTTTAAGAGGAAAAAAACAAACGTATGTTTATCAGTACATCCAGATAACATAAAATTTACATAGGTTTAGAACTATGAAACATGAATAATGAAATCCATAAAGAGAGAGGCTTACAAGATGAGAGAGAGAGGCTTCCGCTACCGCTGCTGCAAGTGGAGGCTTAAAGATCTCTGTTTGCTGAACTTATATGTAAAGAAGAACGAACCCTAATTTCTTGTCAGATTTACCAATAGAAATCGATGTGGTTTACTCCCAATCTGAGCCCGCTTCGTTCATGAAATAGGGCCAATTCTATTCAGGCCAGCAAGCAACCACTGTTCGCGAGGCCGAATGTCAAAAACCCAAATCATATTCTTTTGGTTTATAATTATATCCAAATTTCTATATTGGATTGAATTTTTTATTCCAGCATAAAAGTGTTTGTTAAAAGATAATTTTGCGCAGCGATTTCAAAGATAAAGGAATTATTTTTATTTTTTGAGATTTTAGATTCGAGTACTATAAATATTAAGGGTATGAACGTTTAATATCAAATGGTTGAGAGTTATCTTTGAACAAATATTGTCTTGTACTTACCCTTGATTAATAAAAAAATATAATTTTGAACTAAGTGACTTTAGGGTGCGTTTGGTTCATGGAATGTAGCATTACCTCCAGGAATAGGATTACCGAAATGTATCATTACCTAACACATTACTGGAATGTTGCATTGTTGTGTTTGGTTTGTTTAGCAGGAATGTAAGATTATAGTGTTTGGTTAAAGGAATAAAAGATTAAGAAATCAAGTCCTTGTATTTTTTTAAACAAGTTGAATTTTAAATATTCAAATGAAAATATTTTTATAAAAAGATCATAGAAAATATATAATTTTATTATTTTTAATTTATATATTTCTTTATAAAATTTAAATTCATAAATTTTATATAATGTTTTACAAAATTTAAAAGATAAATGGATTTAATGAAAGGGTTTAATTTTATTTTAACCCCTGAACTTCATATAAAATTTTAATTATGGACTTTTTTGTAAATCTAAAATAATTTACGGATAAATTTGTAATTTACCCTTCATAGAATTTTTTTTATTCAACGGTGAGAAGAATGATATTTTTGAAAAAAACAATTGTTTTAAGAGTATTTTAGTCCAAAGTCATGGGAAAATATTAATACTTAAGGAATGGTGGAATGATATTCCCGGTAATAAGTCCTCAAAATATCACTATTGGGAATGACTTATTACCCCCATTGGTAATCCTTGCAATCCAAATATAGGTATTACATTCTCGAAAAAAAAATCCCTTGGCAATGTAACATTCCATCATCCAAACGGCCCTTTAGTGATAAAAAGAGAGAGTTATTATCTTTACAGATTTCAAATTTGAATAATTATGTTTACAAGTAGTTATTAATGAGTTGAAAATATTCTTAACAGTTGGTATATTGTAATCATAGTAAATTATTAAAAAATGATTTTGATATTGAATATATATATATATATATTATTGTACTCGTATGTAAATATATTAAATACTAATTATTTAAGTATTAAATATATATATATAGAATTGCACTTCTAATAAAAAAATAGCAAACTAATCTAAACAGTAAAAGATTATTATTCTCAATGCAATAGTCTTTCTCAATATACGCAAACCTAATTACTTAAGAAGTATTAACATTATACAAACGATTATTATTAGAGAAAATAACCTCAGTGACCGAAAATTCCTTATAATATACGATTTTGACCAACTTTTTTTCGATTTGTCAAAATGACCAACAAAATCGCAATGCGATCTCTAAATCGCAACGCGATCTCCAGTATCGCAAATCAGTTTCCAGATTCGCAACGCGATTTTGACTATCACATTGTGATTTTCCAAATTCGCGTTGCGATTTTAGAAAATCGCAATGCGAATATGTAAATCGCAACGCGATTCTGACTATCGCAACGCGATTCTGACTATCGCGTTACGATAATACAAAATCGCAACGCGATTTTCAAAGCGCCATAGTATCGCAACGCGTATTTTATTTTCAAATTCCAAACACGAATATTAATATATCGTAATTAACTCTTAACCTAAAACCCTAAATCACAACTCAGTCTCATCTCCATCTCTCACTCTCTACGGCGACATCCGTCCCCATCTCCGACGAAAACCGTCCTCATCTCCGGCGAAATCCATCTATCTCCATCTCTCAGAGCCACCTCACAATCATTCACGATCAGAAATGAAAATCAACCAAATCAACCACTGAGGGTTAGTTATTTTTAATTATTTTTATTTTGAAATTTTGGCATTATTATTTGGTTTTTCATATTGAAATTGATGATAAGTTTACTGGTAATTTCAATAATAGATTAACCATTTCACTTAGATTGCTTATTAAATTCATTCGATTGCTGCCAATACTGCTAAATTGTTTAGTCTTTAACCCTGTAAAGTTAGTATTTGTCTTTGTTTTGTCTTTTGGTTGAAGTAATGTAATTCATTCAAGTTTCAATTTTAGACAATGACTATTTGAAACCGAGGATCGCAACGCAAAATGAAAATCGCAACGACAAAATTGCAACGCGATTTTAGTTTCGCGTTGCGATTTTCATTTCGCGTTGCGATAGTCAAATTCACGTTGCGATAGTCATTTTCGTGATACGATTTTCATTTTCGTGTTGCGATTTTAAGTTTCAGAAACTATTATTCTTCTGTAAATTGAAACTTGAATGAATTGTATTACTTCAACCAAAAAACAAAGACAAATACGAAATTCACAGTGTTGCAAATTTAAGTTTGAAGAATAAACTACTACTACTCTTTATGTTTATTATTGTTTTTGGTATATCTTCACATTGTAGTTTTTGGTATATCAAACTTGGTATGTTTATTGTTTTTGTAGAACTTTTTTTCGGCTCAATTGACCTTAAGGAATAAAATAAGCCTAGTCATTACAATTGCGTCGAAGCTTTCACCTGTAAAAAGAAAATTGTTTGAGGATACTTGCTTCGGGCCATGGCTGAAAGTTCAACATCCGGGTGGAGATGCTATGTTGACCCATTTGTGGCTTAAGATCATGACTAGCGATCTACCCAAGAGTATAAAATGTGGTAATGAAGAGATATGGTTTCATTTTCCACCGGCGTATACGTGTTTTGGGCGGGAGGAGTTTTGCTTAATCACTGGTCTACGCTTCGGACACGATGATGTAGGTCGATACACTAGTCATATTAACCACCCATCATGGTTATCCGGGTTTTTCCTGAGCTGTCAATGGAGAAGCCGAATTTACACGTCGACGACTTGACGAGATTATTGAATAAGAAAGATGGTTTTACTCAGATGGATGACGTCGATGTTGTTCGAGTATGCCTTTTAGTACTTTTGCATGCCGACGTTTTAGGCAGAGAGGCCAGACAACCTATTCCTAAGGACCTAATATTATTGGTAGAGGACCTAAATGCATGGAACCTGTTTCTGTGGGATTCGTATCTATGGAAAGCTACCTGGAATAAGTTGTCGTCTGTCTTTGTTGACCGCAAAAGTTTGTGTGGCGATGGTTGCAAATACACTTTGTCAGGCTTTATTTGGGCCTTTAAAGTAAGAATTCCTATATAATGTTTCCAAAATTATAATTAATTATTTAACAATTATTAATGTTTGTGTATTATATTGTTTGTAGATTTGGATATTTGAGGCTTTTCCCGATATGCAGACATATGCATTAAAAACTTCAAATGATATTCCTAGAGTTATTTCATGGAAGAGGAAACGGCGGCTGTTGATTTGGGAATAGTTACTACGGTATACGACAATAAATGATATAAGTTAACACAAATACTACCATATATAAACAAGTTATTACTAGTACACGTTTAACTTTGTTTGAGCTTTTATATTGTTAGGAGGCCAACACTCCATTATAGAGGCTGACACCCACGGAGGCTGAGCTTGCCACTAATTGGTGGTAAGCTAGTAAGCATTTTTTTGATGGCACGGATGATGAGCAGCCTCCACTTCGAGAGCCATCACCTGATCGACCACACTATACACCTCGACAACGGGAGCCATCACCTATTCGTCACATCATCGAGCCTCTTCTCCACCATCACCTCATGATAGGCGACCGGCAAAGATGCCATGACATTTATCTCCCTGTTCTCCACCTCCATGGGATGAGTTAGGGGAGTTACGTGATGAGGTCAATGCCTTGCGTGAGGAGGTCGGTACTTTACGCGATGAAATAGTGCATGACGTGATCAGGTATCTACTTTACGTGGTGAGGTAGCAGCTCTACGTGAGATGGTAGCATCGTTGCAGAATGAGGTTCATACTCTACGCAACGAGGTAAGTTTAAGATTTTTCATATTTAACTTGATTTACTAGTAATTTCACTTAGATTAACCATTTCACTTAGATTGCTTAGTAAATTCATTCGGTTGTTGCCAATACTGTTAAACAGTTCTAAAATAACCCTGTGAAGTTAGTATTTGTCTTTGTTTTGTCTTTTGGTTGAAGTAATGCAATCCATTCAAGTTTCAATTTGCAGAAGAAGAATAGTCGCAACATGAAACTTAAAATCGCAACGCGAAAATGACTATCGCAACGGGATAATCGCAATGCGAAATAAAAATCGCAACGTGAAAATCACAATGCGAAAAATGAAAATTGCAACACGAATTTAGTTTCGCGTTGCGATTTTGGTTTCGCATTGCGATTTTTTCGTTGCGATTTTTATTTCGCATTACGATTATCTTGTTGTGATAGTCATTTTCGCGTTGCGATTTTAAGTTTCGTGTTGCGATTTTAAGTTTCAGAAACTATTCTTCTTCTGCAAATTGAAACTTGAATGGATTGCATTACTTCAACCAAAATACAAAGACAAATACTAACTTCACAGTGTTGCAAATTTAAGTTTCAAGAATAAACTATTACTCTTTATGTTGTCCTTGAACATGCACTAAACCTATATGTTGTTCTTTTAAATGTTTATATAAGTGCTTACTTCTGGAATGTTATCTGATGCATTTTGTGAACTATGATAGAATAATGACTTGGGTGAATATCGTACAAGTTTGAAACATCTTTGTTTTCACTGTTTAATATCATGTCTGTTTATTTACTAATTTATGTATTA